CCCCAAAACCCCAAAACCCCTTGAATTTATATATCAATAAAATAAGTAAATGAAATGTAAAATAATATAATACAGATAAACCTTAAATTTGTTAATATAATCAATGATCATATTTCTTCTATGCGTATCTCTAAACATAGCTTGGTAGAGAAAAAATTTTTTCCAAAGAAACTTTAATTTTTAAGCATTATTCAAGCTTATCTTCTAGTTCATTAACTCCAAGTTTTCCAAGCTATAATGTAATATCTCGATATAAAATAATATTTTACATCCATATAACTAAATTGTATCCAACTACATGCTAATCCTTCTGAATGTATCCCAAAACAGAATGAAGTGGAATGTCTAAAAATACTTTTCTGACCTAATTGATTTGCTTTTCTTTTAAACTCATAATATCAAATTCTTTCATACAGTTTAGAAGTTACTTGTACTTCAAGTTATGTCTTATTTCCAACCAGATTTTGCCAACTTCTTGTTTATTATGGAAATCAGCATCTTTCTTAAGCTAGTATTTATTCATCATAATATGTAGAGCTATTATAGGTTCTGAAAAAGTTATGCTTGGTGATGGTTGTCAAAATAAATCTTAAGTACTTCTAATCATTTTATCGCTGGACCCCAAATTTTATAAACATTTCTATATCTCTTTGCTGATAAGAAGCTGTTTTGACTTGAGTTCAGTTAAATTAGACTTGATTTCAGAATTGAAACTATTCTACACTAATTACTCATATCTTGCAGACTGCTCCTTTATATCATTATAAATGAAATTTATCCCAATTAGGACTGCTTCATTAAATATCTTGTTCAGTCCTCTCAACTCTAGAACTTTCTTGTAATTAAGATATACAATCACATTTGAAAGAGAGTATTTTGAAAGTTTATTAAAGGTATTTTTCTTTTCCATTTTTTATAATTAATTATGCATTCCATCTTAATAAAAGAAATCCTACTAATCCTTTAGACATGAATTTCATAAATAAGCTTTCTATTTAATTTCTGCTGAAACATATTTTTCATTACGGTGTTTTGGGGTTTTGGGGTTTTGGGGATTCTTTAAATATTCTCTGTAAGTATTTGTATTTCTTACACAAGGGGTTTTGGGG